GGATCAGAAGTGGCAGGTCTGATCTGAAGGACAACTTCTCAAAGAGCAGACAGGGCTTTCTGCCCCTTCCTCCCTCCTCCCCACCAGAAGCTTTTCCCAGCACAAACTGCTGCTGCCAGCAGCTCCTGCCCACCAAGACCTTCCTCTGCCAACAGGTTTTCCTTTCAAAACCAGTGGCTTTGCTCTGCCAGCAGCTATCAGGATGCACCAGCATCAGCAACATGCCCCTTCCGTGCTCCCTGGCCCCTTGCAGCCCACCCAAAAGCAACCACAGCATCCCTGGGCAGCACCTGTGACACCAAACAGGTAAAGATGGGTGACAGCACATCTCCCACCCAGGATGTCCTCCTAGCATTACCCCTGCCCTTAAAGCCACCCTTCCTCCACAAACACAGCCTCCTGAGCCAAAGACATTCTCACCCCATGGTTTTTTCTTTTTCTGAGAAGAACAGTCACACTGATTTCTTCTAACCCCCCATCATCCCTACCAGCACTGTGTGTCCCCATAGGCAAAACTGGACCCCTCACAAGTGCTACCAGCCTCAGCTTGCAGGACAGCAGCCCAGCAGAGAGAGACTCACCGACATGTCCTCAGAGCCCAGCAGGTATGCCAAGTTCCCCTCCATAATCCAGCACTGGGTCTGAAAAAGTGGCAAAGTGATGTCTTTGTATCACAGCTTTTAAGAAGCATACCTTCACCCGTATATGATGACAGCATTTACCTTAGCAAGTCACAGCCAAGGACTTCACTGGAGCAGTGCACAGTCATAAAGTGCCTTTTCCTTTGTGAGATAAGTGCTACATTGAAGATGTGTGAAACCCCAAACCAATGATTTCAGCCTGTCAGTGACAGTCAGAGGAACGGAAACTGCCAGGTATATTTTCTGAATAAGCAGTGTGTTTTCACTTTGAGCATCTCTATGAACGTCAGTGGAAGAGGTTTGCAGTTACCCCCCTGTGCCCATGACGTGCTCCCATCCCACCTCCTGCCCCTGCTCTGCAGTCCCTGTGGCAGGGAGAGAGGAAGCAGCGCTGCCTCTCCTCTGCTCCAGGGATTCTTGATGAAGAAGCCTGTGGAGGATGGCCCAAGGCTGCCAACAGTCAGCAACTGTAAAGGGCACGATGTTCACATTAACATTTATCCTTGGGAGGCACCTTCACCCTTGCAACCACCCACTCACAGACAAAAGTACCCAAGAGAGCTGATCATAGACTCATGGAATAATTTAGGTTGGAAGAGACCTTTTAACATCAAGCCTAACCATAAACCTAACAACTCCGTATCACCCTTCCTTCCCACGCTGAAGACACTCTCACAGATAACACTGAAGTAAAGCCCTGAATAACTTTACTGGATTTCCACTGGCTCTGCCAAGTGCCTGCTGGTGCCTTATGGCCTCCTTAGTCAGTCCTGTACCTCTCCAAACTGGAGCTGCCAGGCTGCCCAGCACAAGGAACAAGCAGCGCCAGCAGCCCTAAGCCTGCTGTGGAGCTGTGAGACGCCACAGGGAGAGTGGGTCAGTAGCCACCCCATGGGAGCTGGGGCTGAGGATGACACTGGGACACTCACCCCACTCCCATCCTGCTCAGGGAGGCGTTTCAGCGAGCTGAGCACAAGAGGAGCAGCATTGGCTGCTGCAGCATCTGCACAGAGCCTGTGGCAGGACATCCTCTGGTGCACACACGGCAGCACAGAGCACGTTCAGAGCCACTGCTGCTCCTGGGACACACAGCACGGGAGGCTTCACAACCCTTCCTGGGGTCAGGCTGTATCCCCAGAGGGACAAATTGACACCAAAGGGCACCTCTGCTTGCAGCAAACCGAGTTCCAGCCCAGGCTGTGCCTATGGGGGCAGGATGAGGGGTCAGCAGGCGTCAGTGATGGCAGTGGCACAGGCTGCTGGCACCTCTTGTGCAGGGGAGAGACATGGTCACACACCAGTGTAGGAGACCCTTGCTGTGCCCTGCATGGCAGCGGAAAGCCCTGTCCGAGGGGCGCCTGGGAACAAGGCAAATTAGGCACTGGCTCTGGAAGAAAGGTGCATTAGGTTTTAGGAGACCTGGCTGAGCTTCTGTCAGCTCTCCAGAGCAGGAGGAAACATTTTCATCCCCAGACGTAACTCCTTATTCTCTCAAAGGACAATTTTTGCATCCCCACCTTTTAAATGAAGGATGAATGTGTCTCCCAGGGGTGGCTGGATCGGCTGGAAAGGCACCAGAGCTGAGCTGTCCCCTTGCATCTTTCAGTGACATGAAGGGATGAGGCTCCCTTTGCTAGGTTTTCCTGCAGAAGTCAGGCACAGACATGACTCTATGCAGGGCTGTGTATGTGATCACATACACACACACATGGCCCTCACTACAAGAGAGACATGGAGGTGCTGGAGTGGAGCCAGAGAAGGACAATGGGGCTGGTGCAGGGCCACCTCCCTACAGCCTCCTGCCAGGCAGTTGCAGAGATCAATAAGGTCACCCCTCTTGAAGGCCAGATATTTCTTCACAAAGTGCTTTAGTCCACAAAGCTTGAACTTGCCACAGCCTCAGGAGCAGGAGCAGGAGGAGATGCTGCTGCTGTGGAAACACCACTCGTGTCCCCACATGTGGAAAGAAATAAGGTCTCAGATTTGGAAGGAAACTCAAGAAGGAGGGGGAATAAGAAGAAAAAGGGTTTTCCCCACTCTTTACCCACTGTAACCCTGCACGGCACATCCTTTACTCCTGATTTCCTCCTTTGAAAACCTCCCATACCCCACAGTTGGGAAGGCACCAAAGTCTGTCTTAGCCCTTTCCAGGAAAAGTCTTGCTGGTTACAAGAGATGCATGGTCTCTTTTTAACTTGGAGAAACAAAAGATGCTTTTGCCCTTCATGTAAAGACCAGAATGAAAGTATTTGCAGCAGCTTTCTCAGACTTTCTTATCCCTGAGGTGTTTCCTGAGCACCAGAGGGTGAACAGAGGTCAAAGATGGAGAGCAGAGATATTTCTTGATGTTGCAATTGTTTTTCAGGCGGTGTTGTGTTCATTTCATACCTATTCATGTTCCACTGCAAGTGCACACCATGATAATGAGCGACACCCTTACCTAGGGTTATCACTATCGCTAACAGAAAGCCTCTTTTGTCTCCCTGGGGAGATGTGTTGAGGATGCCTGTGAATCAGCCTGATTTGGTTTCTCTTTATTTGAGGTCCTCCAGTCAAAACCTGTGGGTATTCCTTTTGGCAAACCTCATTTCTTCTGTGCTAGCTTCCAGTTGAACTCTGGGCAGCGCTGGAGGGCAGGGGTTGACTGCTGCCTTTAGGGAAACACAGCTGTAAGAGGAAACGATGAGGTTTAAAGATCTGCTGCTCTGGCCCTTTCCTATTCCCTAACCTTTAAACTTCCTTTTCAGTATGTACCTTTGCTGTTCCTGGCTAATGCCTAACCAGGAATTGGTTCCCTGATTATTTCCACGGGTGCTGACATCACTTGTGCAGCTTGGTTGATGGCTGGAAGCTCAGTTTGACCTCTGGTGTATTGCTGTGTGGCTGTTGGGGATGTAACCTTTGCTAGACAAAGCATAATGCCACGAAAAGATATGTAATTATCAGAAATAGCAGAACTCAACTTACACAGGAATATTTGCCTGGCAAGTCACTACACCAGTCAGTGAGCTGAGACAACCTGGAAGATGCTCACCATCCCAAAACCTCCCATCCAGCCCAGCCTGTCTGGATGCGGCATTACTGACTTTGGAGAGAAAGCATTTTAACCTCCCTTGGCATCTGAGGCAGGGGCAGGACCTGGAGGTGTTTTCCAGGGCTGTATTCCTGTGTGTGCCAGAGGACTTTGGTATTGGTACCTTCCCCAGCTGGACACTGTCTCGGATCCCCATAATAATACATCCCACTGCACATGCCCCAGCCATGCCAATTGGGATGTGTGGCATCCCTGAGGGTAATGCTCATGTCAGGGGCCAAGAAGGCTCCTTGATTAATGAACATGCCAGTGCTTAAACCTTCAGGCTCCTCCTGTCCACTGGAAGCCCTGGGCTGCAGAGAGATGTACTCAAAACCTTGTTTACAGGCAAAGAGGAAGCACGTGTGTAGGTAAAGCCAAGAACTGATTGTCAGTGTTACAGCAATCTCAAAGCTCCAATCATCGTCAGTCTAGATCTGCTGGATGCACAAAAAGGAAGACTACTAATGCAGTTTAAGTTATTCTGCACATGCAGTTTCTATCCCTTTTCATGATGGCACATTCACCCTTCCCTGCTGCTTTGGGTCCTAAGGCTAGTGCTTTTACCCAGGGGGTGGTGTGATGCTGGGAAGGGAGGTGTTGGAGTGAGCTGTCAGCATCTCCAGCCCTTCCCTGTGACCAGTGCAATGGCCCTGCTGATGGGTTTTCTCCCTCTCTCTAGGATCTGCTCAGGGTTGGTTTTGTATGTTTTCTGACATGCTTTAATACCTTCTTCTGCCTTCCCTGGTCTGCAGCCTCGTGTAACACCCAATTTACTATGTGTGGTGCCCCTTACATACATTAGGTACTATTTTTATTCTGTGTGTTACTGCTAAATGCAGTTTTGCCAGCTCCAGGAAGCATTCTTTTAACTGACCACCAGTGAGTTTCTTATAGCTGCAAGGATATAACCTTGTACCATCCTGTACCTGTACTCCTCTGTGCTGCATCCTGTGTCCCCACTGCTCAGGGGAGCGTACCAGGCTCGCACTTGTATACACTGCACCGAGTCAAAAATACCTCATTCTGCATAGGACAAGGGGAATCAAGGGGGTGGCAGCTTTTACACCCCAAATATGAGGCTCCTCAGGCATTTCTGCTGTGCAAGTCCTGTCCCCTGTAAGCAGTTCTGCCCCTCAGAGTGGCCGCATCCTGCTTCACAGTTTCACAAGGCACCAGCAGGACCGGAGCAGAGCACATTAATACTTTCTCAGCAGAGCCACGAAGCTCAGCCCAGGAAGCTGCCCTGCCAAACTTCACATGTTTCATAGGGTAGGCATCAGCTCTAAAGAGGAAATATACATTTAAACCCAAACAGGCTCCGCTCGAAGAAAACATTGGTTTTCACTGCAGCTATGAATTAAGGTAAGAGACAATTCCACTTGACCTATAATCTGACGGAGCAGGAGGACAACAAATGGTGTCTGATGTACTTACTTAAGCGAACTCTTCACTGCTTAGTGCTTGGAATCTAAATAATACTTAATTTGGGTAAAGATGATGTGGGTAATGCTTACAAACTGTGAAAGTAGAAAGGGAAAAGCTTTTATTAATCAAAGTGACCCAAAGCAGAGAGATTTTACTGTGATGCGTTATTTGTGGCAACATTCACCCTGGCTAGAAGTCTTCAAGGTTAATGCTGGCAGATGGCTAGTGTGCAGCATAGAAAAGACAGAGCAAGAAGATGCAGCCATTCTACTTCATTAGAGGGCTTTTGTTAGATGTCAGAACTCACCAGTGTTGCTTGATTTTAGTTCCAGTCAGTGAACCAACATCCCAAACATCACCGACACTGAAGGACAGCCCGAACCAGAAAGTCTGCTAGAGATGGCAACAAGTGTCTGATGAGGACAGAGCAGCAAGAGAATGGCAGAAATGAAAAGAACCCTTGAAACCCCAACTTTCTGTATGAACAAATCACTTAATTTCTCTGTGACTCAGATTTCCATGGGAAGGTTTTGTTGTTACAAGGATGGCTGCTGGTTGGGGTGAGGCATTTGGGTAATCCAGTGACGGCAGCCCGTTAAGTGTTTGTGTGATATAAACACAGATCCAGAAACAGAAGTTCTGCTGGGGCAAACCCTGTGTTGATGCAGCCAGACAGAGGCAGTGAATTGGGTGAGAGGATAAAAGACAGGAACTGAAATGAATTCTGAGGGTTTGGGCCGCACAGAAGAAGTCCAAAAGGGAGAGGAAAAGGCTAAAGTTTGGCAAAGGAGAACACTTAAGACTTAACTCTGAGAGTAGATCACAGAGTAAATGTGATCTTCCCAGGAAGGGGCTGTCAACTCCAGAACCTAAATCTCATCTGGACATAGTCAAGAAGGAATAATGCTCTTTAAAATAACAGAGAAGGTGATCTAAGAGATGCCCCATTTGTAGACAGCCTTCTCAGTTTTCTGAAGGATGCTGAAGCAATGTCAGCTTATTAATAACAAAAAAGGGGGGGGGGGGCAGGAAGTAAATAGGCCCCACAATAAATGTGGTGAGAGGATGGGGCGAGTGGTAACCATAAACAAGCACAAACGGTGCACATAGCTCCAAAAAAAGTCATCTGTTTTCACTGTCCCCTCAACAGAGAAAACAGAAGGAATTTGAATGCTGCTTAAGAAGGACAGGCCTGGGAAAAAGGACTCCTGAGGAGCAGCAGGTAAGAGAAAACACCACCATAATGCTCAGCAACAGGTATAAAATTACACAGTGTCACGAGTGACTGCGCGGGCAGGAAAGGCAAAAGGGAACTAACTACAGGACATACCTGTGAAGCAGATTTCCCAAGAAAACCCTGATCCTGGCAATCACCATCCAGTCAAATGACAACCCCAAACCCCAGTGTCCTGCGGGCAGCTCTGTGCCCCAGCAGCTGAGTTAAAGTGCTCCCCAGCTTCTGTGAGGACAAATACAACTGCTGCTCTCCAACAGGATTCTCGCAGCCTTCACCTGGTTCCCTGTCTCCTGGCTGGTCTCTGCCTGGAAACCAGCTCAGGTTGCAGAGGCTTTGCAGAGGACCCTTGGGTCTGGCCACAGAATCATGACCCTGAGAGTCACGGATGAAAACTTCAGAAGCATTTCAGTGATTTCTGAACCTCAGTTTTAAGACCTGGAGAAAACACAGGAGTCTGAATCATACTGTCAGGCCATGGCTCCTAAATGCCCAAGTCATTTCTGAAATGGGTTTTTAAGGCTCTGACCTCCATAGGGCCAGATTACTAAAGGTACTTTGATTGCCAGAGGTTCAGGCTAATGCCCTGTGGGACTTTTCAGAAGCCCCCCAGTATTTAGCTCCCTTTCAGAAGAATGCCCCATCCCTGGCAGTGTTCAAGGCCAGGTTGGACGGGGCTTGGAGCAGCCTGGTCTAGTGTGAGGTGTCCCTGCCCATGACAGGGGATTAGAACTGGATGAGCTTTAAGGCCCTCTCCAACCCAAACCAATCTGGGATTCTGTGAGTCTATGATTGGTATCAATAATAGCTCCCCAGCAAGGTGCCTTGATGTGACTATTGGCATGGTCACTTGCTCAAAAGCCTTGGTTATGCCCTGAAAGTGGAGCCATGACAAAATCAGAGTATCACTTTTGATGTGATGGGTTAAGCTGAAACTTGTGCCCTGGTTACTTGCTGCCCTGCAGTTATCTCCAGGTTAGCATGGAGCATCTCTAAGAAAGCACTTTGCAATGCTATAAAGCCTTAGGGAAAGGTGAAAAAGATCCTCTCCCACCCTCCATGATCCAAGACTGATCTTTTCAAGTGTATTTTTTTACCCCAAACTCTTGGTTTAAGGTTGTAGATTTTATTCCACAGCTGGTGGAGTCTGCTTCCAATTCAGTTTGTGATGCTGGTGTCAAAACTGTAGACCTGGTCCAGGGAAGGGGCATTTTTTAGATCTCTTTCACCTAAATGCCTTTCTAAAGGGACCACAGACCTCTGCAAGATTCAGACTTGCATTTATCTTAATCAGCAGTGGTTTGATCGGCTTCCATTGCTGGGTGCTTTATTTAGGACACCTTGAATGCCCTAATTTTCAGAAAGCCTCAGCATCACGCTTCTGCACCTTGAATCCACCTTGAGCTGGAAACTATAATAATGAAGCAGCCCGCAGCACTATTCTCTCTCAAAGAGCTCACCCTCAAAGTCCAGGGCCAAGTCTCCATAAATGAAATCAACCAAAGCAGTAAGTGATTATTAAGAATAACTCTGGAAATGGCCTGGCTGATGTGAGAATAAATCACAGAATTAAAAAGAAATACCAAAGAAAGGCATTTTCTCACCTTAAAGTCAGCAGGGAAGGACTGGAGGACCAGGGAGCAAGGATGCATCTGGGATGACACCACACACCCACTTGGAAGCGATGGAGGAATGATAAAAGAACCGGTTAGAAGGTGGCAAAACATGCAGGGTTTAACAGAGGCCGTACAGACTGGCTGTTTGATAGCAACATCCCTGTCCCCAAACAGGGGACCAAAACAGAGTCGTTGCTGAGTGTGCCCCAATAGCCCATTTGCTCTGCCTCCCTGCCTATCAGGGGCTGTAGGATTGGGCTCCTCCACTGTGTCTGGCCTAAAGCCATATCCCAGACTGGTATTTTCTCTTGTGGAGGTTCTCAGGCATACAAAAACCTTCTTTTCCTACTCGAAGTCTGTTCCAGTGATTTGCCTTTCACTGTTAAAATGTGTATCTGATTTTCAGCTTGCAAGTCTCTGGTTTGAATTTCCATGCGTCAGTTTGTGGTATAGCTAATCCCACTGCATGAGCAAGGCTATGAAATCAAGTGTATGCCTACAGCCCCAGTCCCAGGCTCTGCAATGGTAAAGCCACTTCCCATTTAGCACGCCTTTAAACATCTGTAAGCACCCGAGGGTTGCATCAGCTTTTCTTACTGCAACATCTGGCTGAGGGCTGGCTTTCAGACTGCCCATAGCAGCAGCCAGGTTTCCCAGCAGATGATCTCCCACTCTTGAGACACGGTCTGTGGTGTTTAACTCCCTAGCGTGTCGCTTCAGCTGCATTAAAGCCAATGTGAATCATCCAGGAAGCCCCAGATTATTCAGGTCTGTCTGAATTACTGTCTAATTCTCTAACTCGTTCCTCACTTCCCCTACCAGCTGTGACTCCCAGTCAGATTTCAGACCAAGGGTGAAAATACAAGTCTGGGGCTTTCAATTCATTATTCCCACAGACCTTTTATAAGCAATACTCTGTGTTTGGTGAGACATCCTCCACAGTTGTCTGGCTTTTGAGCTCTGACAGTTAACCAGCCTGAATCCCATCGTAACGTGTTGCTGGGCTTGTGCTGCATTGGTCTGGAGAGCTGTGTCCATCAACTATTCTATGTTTCTATGAAATAAGCAGTCAGTGCAAGTCAAAGCTTCAACTCTTCTGCACAATACCCTTTATCAACCCTGTAATTGCATCAGATGTCCAGACAAAAGCTTCTCTAAGCCACCCACACTGGCATCAGCTATGCTCCCCCTCTTTGCTGTTCAGATTTCATTTTGACCAGGTTCAAGGTTGCTGCTTCACCTTGCTCCCTGCTTCCAAAGGTCAGAATCATGTCATAGAATCCCAGAATGGTTTGGGTTGGAAACGAACTTAACATCATCCAGTTCCAACCTCCTGCCATGGGGCAGGAACACCTCACACTAGCCCATGTTGCCCAAGGCTCTGTCCAACCTGGCCTTGAACACTGCCAGGGATGGGGCATTCACCACTTTTCCGGGCAACCTGTGCCAGCACCAGCACCTCATCCTCGTGGCCTCCTCTGGACTTGCTCCAACAGCTCCATGTCCTTCTTACGTCAGCTGCTTCCAGCACCTGTAGAGGTGGAACAGGGAAATTATCTCCTCAATTCAGGACTGAATAAAAGACAGATATAAATTTAAAGTAACTGCAGCTGCTGTGCTGCTTTTGACCCCAGCTATCTAACAGGATCCCAAACAGCTCCAGAGACTGTCCCGTAACAACAGAACCGCCCAGCTCTGAAAGATGAGCTAAGTGTATTACAGGAACCAGTTGGGTGTAGGACTAGAAACTGGGCCCCATCACACATTGCTGTAAGTAAGCCCAAGTTTTGTTTTGGGTATCATACAAATGGTGGTTAGAGATGTCCGCAGCAGGCTGGTGGTTGCGTGGTAGCTGCTTGGTGCCAGGCTGCTGAAGCATTTCAGCCAGAGTGCTGTTAAGACTTGCATCTCTCCTGTTGGTTTCCATCTAGTTCTGGTTAATTCTCTTAAAGCTCTTTCTTTTGTGTGTTAGAAGAGCCAGCGGCAGCTAAACCATGTCATTTGGATGTACCCAAGGACACCCCTATGGTGTGGCTGAGACCCCCCGGGCTGGCCAGAAGCAGATGGGTGTAGTCACAAATGCACAAAAGCAACACGTTTATATTTGGGTAGGGTGGTGACAGCTCACATCTAAGGGTGAGAAAGGCAGATGTGCCCATTGGGTTTCATAGGGCTTCCCACAAAGCCTCCCATCTTCCCTGGGTCGGTGAATCATTGGTGTGCAGCTTTGCCTTCATGAGAGAAGTGCACAACTCAGCCTCCCCCAGAAGTGCTGACTAAGGTGTGAAAATCCTTCTGAGCCTTAAAAATGCTTCTGTCAGCACATTGTGCAAGGCTGAAGCGTGACCCTCTGCTTTTGGTTATTGTTTGTTACCTTCCCACTGGGGGACAGCACCGTGCAGAGGTGAAGTGCCCACGAACCCCCCTTCTTGGCCGTAACGTGGCACTTGGCTGAAGCACCAGGGGTGGCAATTGGAAAGCTCAGATGCATAAAGGATTTGGCTCTTGTCACCCAGACTGATGCCAGTGCTAGTTTTGAAGGCTGAAATGCACCTTCTGTTGCTTAGAGGAGTTTGTGGCTCTCTCCTAATTTCACTTCCCTATGTATTACTTATAGTGCACGTGGTTGTTTGGAACAGCTGGGTTGAGAAACAGGGGGTTTGGGTCCTGCAGGCTGTTGTCTTTGAGACAGCTATAAACATGATGAAGGGCAGAAGTGTTTGTGGGGAGCAGGGTGTAAAACTGTTGGGGAAGTCTGGACAGAGAGAGCAAAGCGGTTGAGCAGTTCCATGAGAAGCAGAAGTGAATCTACTATTTCCTGTACTCAGCAAGGGAAAACATCTGGTGGAGGGACCTCACAGCCCTGCAGTCTTCTTCAGCATCCTCTGTGCTCTTCAGGTCACTTCATACCCCAGACTGTGACCGTTCTGTGCCAGCAGTTTTGGATGCCAATGTCATTTATGTGAGTGTAGTTCTTGCTTGCCCCTGGCCACGCCATGCAGCATCTCACCCTTCCTGCTAGCATAGGTACCACAAGCTTTGCAACCACCCATCCAGGGTAAAGGAAATGATTTGTTACTGTAGAAATAAATGATCCCCATCAGTGAGCTAGAGGAGATTACCTGACTGAAAAGGTACTTCAGGAAAGACCAGAGCCCAGGTGACGTTCCTCTTTGCTTCAGTAAGAGCAGGAGTTCCTCCTGCACCTCCATGTAAATGGTGTCCCGTGAAGAAGGTGGCCATTCCTGCACCCAGCTTTCTCTGCAGGCAGTGCCAGTGGGTGCAGCCTGCGCAGCAGTCTGCCAGACCTGAGGGCTACCCCATGGTGGGAGCTGCATTTCCTTACTCATGTGAAACCCTCCCTGTGCTCAGGAGAGCGCAGTGGTTTGTGTGGGCACGTATGGAAACCTCCAGAGGAACAAGCTGCCTTTCCAGGCATGAATTAAGGGAGCAAGCATCAGAAAGACCAGTGCAGCTACTGGTTCTCAGAGAGGAGACTAAATCATTGTGTGCTCTTCCTCTCCAGGTCAGGGATTTCACCCAGCACACACAGTCTAGGCAAGCACCACCGAGCAACCCTCTCTGGATGCTAATGGGATACAAGCAGGCATCAATCAGTTGTTACCTCTGTGCACAGTGGGACTTCTGCTCATCACACACATGGAAACAGGAGCGTACAGAGCAGAGAAGAAGCTGGGGCACTTTGCAGAAACATTGTGGCCTCTGCCTGGCTTTGTTTCAGAGTCATGAAGTTAGGACGGGACTTCTGAAGGTCTCTTGTCCAAATGCATGCTCAGAACAGGGCCAGCTGAGTTATAAGTACCTCCAGGGATGGAGAGCCCACAGCCTCCATGAAGCCCTGTGGAGGTGTTTGTTAAAATGACTTTCCATATAGTGAGTAACAATTTCCCGTGGCCATTGCCTCTTACTCCTCTGAGGGAAGTTGCCTGCTTTGCATGTACACCTTGCCATTAGATTCCCTTTTGAGATGCCTCTTGTTGGGGCTGATCAAACCCACTTCTCAGCATCTTCTCATGCACCAGACCCAGTCATTTCGGTAGCCCTCAGCTACTGCACACTGGTACCTCAGTGAAGAACCAGCTGTGGAGCACATCAGCCCACAGAGGAAGATGGAGGCTCTGGTGCAGTCACAGCTCAGTGGCAGAGCTGGGTAGGCTGCTGTAGTGACTTATTTTCCACACAAGAGACTTGGTGTACCCTGACAAGTCTTTCCATTTTAAAGGCACCTTCTGCCCACATTTCAGCTCAGGAAAGGAGAAAGAAAACATCTCATTATAAGAGGAAACGGCCTCAAGCTGCACCAGGGCAGGTTTAGATGGAGCTGAGGAACAATTCCTTCCCCAGAGGGTGCTCAGGCATTGGAACAGGCTGCCCAGGGCAGGGCTGCAGTCACCGTCCCTGCAAGTGTTCACACAGCGTGGAGACGAGGCCTCAGTGCCATGGGTTAGTGGTGGCCTTGGCAGTGCTGGGAACGGTTGGACTGGGTGAGCTTGAAGGGCTTTTCCAATCTGGTTAGTTCTAGGATGGGAAGGTAGAACATGATGGCCATTGGGATTATATGCGATCTGTCCTGCTCATTTCTGTATCCCTCAGCAGGATAAAGTAAAGAGATAAGGAACCTGACACATACCCCTGTAGGCACCTCTAATCTCACAGTATCTTGTCTGCAATTGCTGTCAGCTTCTGCCCCAGCACCTAGGCATTTCCTGTGCATCCCATCTAATTCTGCTGGTCAGATACCACATCTCCAGAAGCTGGAGAATTAAACTGGGCTGCAAGCAAGGCCAGGCTGTGCATTCAGACTCAGCTCCCAGTTCTAGTGGGCAGGCACTGCAAGAGGTGCTGAGCCCATGGGTGTGCCTGCTTGCTGCAAACTGCCTTCCCGTCCATGCCCATGCTCTGAAACTGCCAGCGCTGAGACAGCCCTTCTTGTAGCCCACTTTTCCTGTTCATAACCACAAAGATTGTTTTCTAATGACTGTGGGCACTTCTCATTTCAATGCTTGGGAGACACTGAGGCTTCGAACTTTCAGAAGAAGAAGGTACTTTCAGATGGAGAGCCTGCATTTCCAACTAGCACAGAAAACCCATCTTTGAGAAATGACTGCAAAATAAGAGGCCAGAAATTCATGGCCCACACCACAAAGGGTGCTCTGGCAATGAAGCCTTAAGAGAAAATACCAATGGTCACAGTAGCCACCCATGGGAGAGTTTGTTGTTGTTACCACTACATCAAATGAAACTTCTTGGGCAAGGACTGTCTCACACCTCACGACATCTCTATTTCATGCTTAGTCTCACAAGGCTTATTTTAAACAGAGGCTATAAAAACTATTGCTATCAGTGAAGAGTGGACGTGCTGGGATTCCAGCCACTTCACTCCAAGTGCTAGGAGTGGGAGCAGTTACACACCATCGGCGTCTACCACTGAGTACCGTGCCCATGCTCTCCTTATAGTCAAAAGGAGCTTCAGCAACACGGTCAGCGGAGTCTGGAAAGCAGCCTGCCTTGTCTTAAAGTACATTTGGCCTCACACTGCTCTTCACTGGCTCTATTGACCACATCTCCCACTGACAGGAGATGTAAACGTCTGATTAGAGGCAGCTTATGGTCACTGAACCAAGTCCCTTCCTTACAGCCAATGGGGGTTCCTGTAAGAAGACAGTGACACTGTGACCAAGGGGTAGTTATCAGTTGCAGGTTTTTTCCTCGCTGACCTTTCCTTCCAGATCCAGCTTTAACAGGCTGGTTTGGCCGTGTTGTCATCTCCCTGGATCTCCCTCTCTGACGTTATCCTCTTTTCCCTTTCCATGTAGCCAGAAGATTCAGCATGACGGAAGCATTCACAGGAACAACGGCCGAATACGCTTACGACGAACAAGCTTTTTCCTGCAATAAGACTGACATCCAAGAGTTTGGGAAAATATTCCTGCCAATATTCTACATTGCAGTGTTTGCTCTCGGCCTCACAGGGAACCTCATGGTGGTTTTTGCCATTGTGAAAGAAGGCAGCAAGAAAAGCATCACTGACATCTATCTGCTGAACTTGACTATCTCGGACCTGCTCTTCGTGATCTCCCTCCCCTTCTGGGCCTCCAACACTGTGCGTGGATGGACCCTCGGGACTGTTCCATGCACGGCTGTTTCCTCACTGTATTACATTGGTTTCTTTGGGGGCATGTTCTTTATCACCGTTATCAGTATTGACAGGTACTTGGCCATTGTCCGGGCGACGTATTCTCTGCAATTCAGAACGGTGAAGCATGGCTTCCTTATAACCTGTGCAGTGTGGGCAATAGCTGTTCTAGTTTCAGTGCCACAGTTTGTGTTCTCCCAGCTGGTAGAAAACGACTGCATTTCTGTCTACCCCCAGGAGCTGGAGAACATCTGGCCAGTGTTCTGCAATGTGGAGCTGAACACCCTTGGGTTTTTCGTCCCGGTCTGTATCATTTGCTATTGCTACTGTGGGATCATCAGAACCCTGCTGTCCTGCAAGAACCAGAAAAAAGCACGGGCTGTAAAGCTGGTCTTGGTCGTGGTGGTGGTGTTTTTTCTGTTTTGGTCCCCCTACAACGTCCTGATTTTTCTAGAGACTTTAAGGCACTATGAGGTATTCACAAGTTGCAACCAAATTAAATCCCTGGACTACGCAATGCACCTGACTGAAACCATCGCGTTCAGCCACTGCTGTCTCAACCCTTTTATCTATGCCTTTGCTGGGAAAAAATTCAGGAGATACCTTCATCGTGTCTGCTTAAAGTACTGCCCATTCCTGTGCTTCTGTGGGCCCTGCAGCCGCTACCAGGTCACCCCTTCCGCCAGCTATGCAGAAAGCACTGTCAACAGCAACATAACCCTCAACACCAGCGACCAGGATGGCTCTGTCTTCGTCTGAAAGGCTCTGTGGAGAAGAAATGTGTGTGAATACATCATCTGCAGGGCCAGCCACCTCTGAGAGCTGCCATTACCCGTATGAAGAGGCTCACTGACGTGCCTCTTGTTAAGCATTAGAAGTTCTAAACCAGTGAAGATTTTAAGAACCAAAGCAGTACAACATGTCAAGGCTGAATGTGGAATTGAATTGAGAGAGAGGAAGGGGGAAAGTGGAGCAAAAGCAGCACTCTTGGCCTGGCGTGGGAGTTGGAGAAGAATTTAAGGAGAGGGAAGCTGTTGAGTAGTTTCATCATTGAAACTTGCACATGTGCCGGTGTATGAACACGGGGTACAAATGTACATAGACCTCAACTCAGTTTTTGAGGGACTGGATATCTGTTTAATGAATGGTAGCTGACTGTTAGCAAGGGCAATGGTTTTGATATTTAAGGGGTATATTTTTGATGCTTCATATAGAAGTGATTTTGGGGTATTGGTTGCAATAAATGTTTTACCTGTGCTTTCATACCTAATAAAATCCTACTGTTAAAACACCCCCGACTTATTTCTGAACACACATTTACTGCCAGCAATGCACTCGGTGTTTGTAGCATGCACTAACCAGAGCAAAGACCATGCTTAAGGATTTAGGTCCAGACCTGGGGCTGATCCAGGAAAAGGTACGGGTTTGGGAATCATTGTGCTTAGTCCAAGTACATCACAATCAGGCTGCGAATTGCTTGGAGAGGGTGGTAAGCACATGCTTCATGCCCATACTCTGCTTGCCACCCACTGTAAACACCAGCTGTGTCTATCCCATCATACAAGAGCTTTCAGGACAAAATAACCACTTGCCCATGCTGTTTACCACAACCTTCCTCAACCTCTGGGGCCTCCCCTCCCATAGCTGATTTCCCCAGGGAAACCTGCAGCTGTACCCGGATGAAACCCATCCCAGAGGACACATTTACCTTGTGCACTCCTCATCCTGCAAACATCCATTCTACTCTTGCAATCAGACAAGTGAGAGACCTTCTGCAGGGCCCTCCTGCCATCATCTGCTGCAAGAGCAATGGAGGTTTGCGTTGGCGCTGTGGGGTGGAGGTAAGGGAATGGACCGCAGCCACCTGCGAAGCTGAGGTCATCTTACAAGGAAAAATCAAGGACTGATCTCCCAAAACAAGTCCATGCCAGTGGGACCCTCTCTGTAGACACTGATGGAAGTGGGAGTATGGCAAACCTGCAGAACCCCCCTCACTTTCCAACTAGCACAAAAGAGTTGTTCTCCGCTATCAGTGGGAGGAGTAAGCCCTTTTTCCTACCACTTGTTTCTAAGAAGGCTGGAGGAGAGCCTTTCCATGGAGACATTTTCCATGTGCAAAAGAATCACAGAATGGTTTGGGTTGGAAAGGATCATCCAGTTCCAACCCCCTCACACTAAACTGTGTTACTCAAGGCCCCGTCTAACCTTGAACACTGCCAGGGATGGGGCAGCCACGGCTTCTCTGGGCACCCTGTGCCAGCGCCTCAGCACCCTCACAGGGAAGAGCTTCTGCCTTAGATCTACAGTAACTACACATATATGAAATTGTCCACCCTGGGCTACTGCACACCCAGCTCGCTCTACAGGATCACAGCCCCTTTCATAAAACACCCTTTATTAGGTGTAAATACATTCTATGTGCTCAACTTTAAAACCAGAAGCTAGCAGTGCACTTCCAGATACCAGACTTACCATCTAAGATGAAACGCAGCGTAAGTGTCACTTGAAATCAGATTCCACTTCAAAGTCCAGCCTGCCCAAGCGGGATCAGACAATCCCCTCTGTCCCCACCCCCAGGCAAGTGGCATTGGAAGTAAATGGGATTTTTACAGTGTTTTTTAAAGAAATGCTAAGATGTGCAGAAAGAAAGAAAGAGGAAGATGCTCCGAGACTAAACAAGAAGTCGTGTCTGCACGAAATCAGCCTGGAGAGGGTGGGTTGCCAAGCTGAGCAATGCAGTCTCACTTGGCTTGTTTGAATTCACTTTTCTATTCCAGACAACAGGGAGTTACTGAGTGGGAGGAGTAACAGGCACATTTGGATATGATCCATGTCCAGCATGAAGCCTCTCTGACAGCTCTCCAGGGAGGACAGCACTTTCCTGCCTATCCCAGTGGTTTCCCAGCAATCCTGCCCATCCCCAGCCCAGGACATCCCAGCACACATAACTTCCAGATCCACCTGCGCAGTGCAGTGCTCCTGTGAGCCCAATGATTGTCAGCCTAAGATCATCACTGCTTATGCCATGTATTTGCAAGTTATTATCATGAATGTGTTATTTATGTGCTCAGTATTTGAGAGTTGGTATGGGATTAAAAGCTTCAGGGTGGCTTCTTGGCACTGGGTTCTGCAACAAACAGCTTGTCCGTGCAGATGCCTCCTCATAGCAGAAGTGGTAAATCAAAGAAAACCCACTGAAAACCAAACCATTTTCCTTCTGTTTGCATCAGCACTAAGAGTTTCCTTGTAATTGTCCCTTAGAAACCCTTCAGCCTCCAGGAAACATCCAGTGCTCTGAGGGCAACCAGTAACCAGCTTTACCAGGACTGGGCTGAGCTGCAGCTGAAGGCTTTGCTGCTCTTCACTGTACTGCAGCATGCCAGGATGTACGGGGAGCCACAGCCCCACAGCTCCTGCCCATGCCGTGCCTCTGCTGTGCTGTGTGACAGCAAATACTGTGTGGTCTCCTGTGTTTCTGCTTATCTTATACCTCGAGGTGTTCCTTGCACCATTTGAGCCTGACTGAAAGCCCACTGGTGTCTCTTTAAGTCCCTCCACTGGACTTCCAGTTAAGTACAGCCTTTACTTAAAGATGCTGCTTCCCTTTCAAAGCCTCTGCAGTGGGAAGCTGGTGCTTTCTAACTGCCCAGCCAGTTTACAGCATACACTTTCCTATGTACAGCACTAAGGCTGCATACATCCTTAGAGTGGATCAGCGCATCCCCGAGGATCATCCAGTCCCTATCCATCACATATGAGAAAGGAAACCAGTCTCTCAGTACAGGATAACCCCTTTTGATCTACCAGAAACTACAGATAGACTCTTGCTTACTTGGCAAGTCACAGTTTACACATGAAAATGCACACACAGAAGCACACTTGGTATAATCTATCCATTGAATAGCATCTGCTTGTGCAAAATGGTCAGAAAACCTCTGGATTTGGGGGATTTTGGGGGGGGGGGGGATGGGGACTGGGCATTGTGGTTTTGGGGGTGGTGAGTTATCTTTGCATCTTATTTTGCCATTGCAGTCAACGCTTCCTGTTTGAGAATCACACTGACACGTAACATAAATCTTTTAGCAGCAGGGTTACCTTTTGAGGAACAGATAAAACCTGAGTCCTCATCTACTTATAAATAGAATGAACAAGGCACATATTTAGCCAGACTGCTTGCAGTGAGATAAAAAGGACACTTCATGTCCACTTAGGTGCCACTGTGAATCCCTCTCATTCAAATATCCCATATAATACGTCATTGTTTGCAACACTGGCATCAGGAGCCCCTACCTGCACATTTCCTTTGGATCAGAGTTCGCTGGGAGTGGATCTGAAGCCCTGGTCCAAGGTAGTCTGAAGTTTTAAGGCTCTATTTAATAGAGAAACTATGAACACATTGGTTGTGGATTAACTTCTGTCATTTCCATTTTGCCTCTGTTACCTTTGGGACGTCCTTCGCTGAGGTCTCATAGGTAATACAAAACCATTGTCCCAGCAGGATGCTCTGATGCCAATGAGGGCACAAGTCCCATCCATGCAAGGTTCCATACCAAGTCCTGCTATTGCTAACCACCAAAGGAGAGTTGCCCAAAGCAAACCTCAGTTACCAGCTTTCTTCTTCCCAAACCTGAACTCTAGTGGTTGCACTGTCTCTCTCCCCATCATTGCTTTTGCAGCTCCTGGCTGGTAACATATTTCCTCTGTAGCTATCACCAACGCACGCTGTGGTGCTTTGCCAAAGGCCATTTACAGACCCCATTTTAGCAGTGAATGAACTATTTTCTGTATTAAGGACTTACCCAAGTCCTTAATGCACCAAGATTTACTGCTTGCACTCCGGTCTCTTGACTCTGTAAGAGACCCAGAGCTCTAATGAAAACCCGTGACCTGCAGAGATGTCATCCTGAGATTCAAACCCCGTTACCAAAGCTAAACATGAGTTTGGATGTGCTAAAGGACACTTGTCACACACATATACAGCCCTTCTGGTGAAGCTGGTGGTGATCCTGCTGCCACTCTTCGTAAGAACTTCCTAATTTGCTTGGTAACTACTGCAAGAGCTTGGTTTTCAACATACACACACCCAGACCTCAAGACCTGGGTTCTGCAGTATCAGTGCTAATGCAGAAAAGAACACCTACCAACTGCTCCTGTATGATTTTGTTGCATGGATATTCAAGACATGAATGTCAGTAGTTAATAGACTGTATTTAGTAGTTAATGTATTGTATTTGTCATTCTTTTCCTAAGGACACAGTGTATAATAGCTCCCATTGGAGATGGAGAAAGCAGTTTGCTTGTGAAGGAGCTTGCTTCTATCCAACTTCCAGCTGTGGTCCTTCAATCAGCTGGAAGCAGCACATTAACCTTGTGTCACCGAAGGCAGAGGTTAGTGGTGGGACAGAGAATACAAGCAAGGACCCTGGCACTACTTTTTCGCTCTGTAGATGATATTATCCACTTGCCATCAGCAGCTGTAACCAGAACAGTCCATTTGCCACCCCCCTCAGATTTTAGGTCTCTGATAAGTTAAATGCATTTGTCACTGTTCCATACTAGCCTGTAATCCAACAATCCAGCTACAAGTAGGTCAATCGGCGGGGATAATGCAGGCCATAGAAAGAAGCTGTGCTTCACCCGCAAGAAGTTTGCATTTAGCCCCTGAATACTACATTTGCTGTATTAAAATCAAGCCCAGCAGCACGGTGACATTAAGAAACAGCAGCACAGCTTGCAATGGATTTGCAGGGCACATCAGAGGATGCTGAGGAAGCAGAAGGGTCGATGGCTCCATGCATCTGCTGACAAGACAGTTCCCTCTAGTGCCAGATGTGCTGCTGCTTCCGTGTGCACTTCACTAGCACAGCTCCTTACATAGAAGAACTGCTTGAAACCTTGAGCTGCAGCTCCCATTATTTCTCTGGGCTTCAAGGAAGTAGGAGCAAACTAGAAGGAAATGGCACCACCTCTATCCCACCCCTTTGCCCCAGGCAACTGAGTAACGTGGGCTCCAATTTGGCCATAACAGGAGCACAAGGCAGCGAGGAGCATCTCCCACTGGAAGGGCCTTGAGTAATGGTGCTAATGGCCTAAGACTGCTCAGGGATGGGGAATTGGGTTAGCACACACAGGAAGTGCTTTTCCAGCTCTTCCTAGGGACATCTCGCTAGATTCCTGGTACAGAAGGACCTTCACCACCACGTTTTGGAAGGAAGGTATTTGAGGAGGCTTAAAGCTGGGTTTGTCTGGTTTATAAATGGTTTATAAACTAGAGTTGGCTCAGATTTGACCAGGTCTTAACCCCTGGGTGCTTCAGAGCCCCTCTCCAGCACGTCTTTGCTTTACTGTAGCCCCTCTCAGTATTACCTTAGGGCACAGAGGTCCTCATACTGCTGCCAGATGGTTTTTCTGAGGGAGCCCTCATTTGAAGCACTAAGACTCACCATCACTTGGTCTCTTGTTCAGTTCCTTCTTCTTGGTCCTGTTGCTGGTTCCTGCTCTCCAGATCCTCCTCATAGCTCAGGTTCCAGGAGACTACAGTGCAAGGGATGGTCAGAATACAAGCTACCATAAAGACAACACTGAATGCATGGGCCAGAGGTTACAGAGCAAGCCAGATTCAGAAAAGGCAACTGGCATACGTCCTTTTATACAAGGCTACCAGCACCTGGAACCAAGTGTTTCCAGTTTCCCTTCTCACTATCCTTCTATCCACCCTTGTCCATAGAATCATAGAATCCCAGAATGGTTTGGGTTGGAAAGCACCTTAAGATCACCCAGTTCCAACCCCCTGCCATGGGCAGGGACACCTCACACTGGACTATGTCACCCAGGGCTTCATCCAACCTGGCCATGAGCACCGCTAGGGATGGAGCATTCACAACCTCCCTGGGCAACCCATTCCAGTGCCTCACCACCCTCACAGTAAAGAACTTCTTCCTTATATCCAAGCTAAACTTCCCCTGTTTCAGTTTTAACCCGTTACCCCTTGTCCTATCACTACAGTCCCTAATGCAGCACCCTCTGTCCTGAGCTCACCCCATCATTTCTTCTGTCCATCTTTAGTGGCAATGCTGTCTCTGCATTCTCACCAGAGGGTGGCATCATTAAACCCTCTCAGACTTCAAGGTCAGTAATGGACTCACTGAGTAACCAGCAGAGTGCAGAAAGTGTACTTAAGGGAAGTAAGAAGAAGATTAGTCCTTGCATTCTGGCGCTGGAAGAAACATCCATTTCTTCAGGCCTTTTTGATTTGCTTGTCCTTGAGCGAATGAGAGCCTGTGGGTATTAAATTAAGCAGCTTTCCCAGCGATTCCCGAAGCACATCAGGATCTCTTGTGAATCACAGAGAGAGCTGTTCCAAAGAGAAGCTTTTAGTGTTGTTATCACAGTTTCATTTCAGTGCCCCGCGTGCTTTCCCCTGCTACTGAATAGACCACATCAGTTGGCTGTAGAGCTTGTCTTGAGGAGGACGTGCAGTGAAACAGCTTTCACAGTGGGATGGCAGTGACTGCGTCTCAGCAAGCATAGAAGGAAGATTAGTGATTGATAAGAGCAAGGACTGGTTCTTTCTCAGCCTTGATCCCCTTCAAACACTGTTTTCTCTAACTACCTTCCTTTATGTCCCAGCTGCCATGTGAGGAATGGGGCAGGAAAGGCTGTGGAGACACTTGTGTCCAGGATAAGGCCAGTCTTTCAATAAGCTTTTTAACACTACCAACCACTACAGGTTTGAGAGCTGGGGGCACTACCACAAATCAACCAGAAATCAAAGCTTTTACACCAGAATGCCACCATCCCTCTGTACCTAAACATCTCCGTGAGCATCAAACTGGCTTGAGGAGACCTCTGCTCTTCGATGCTGCCTTGTCTTCTTCCTCCCTTTGGAGAGACCAGCCTTTAACGGGACATCCGTGATCCTTAGGGGGTGTTTGGGAAGCTTAAAGAAGAAAAGTTCTATCATCTCACAGTGGAAACAGCCCCAAATTTGTCCTCCTCCTGTTAGAAACAGCTTGGGAGCATTCCGTAGGTGACTGAAACAGACAAAGCAAGCTCCTCACCGTGTCATTGCACGCTTAAGAAGAACCCAGCTCATGGCTCTCACATCAATGTTTTTTACTTCAAGTAAAACTCAGCCTTCAAAATGACCGTTCCAGTCGTGTTTGAGGTTTGAAGTTTCAGTTCTTTCTTGAGGAGGAGCTCTAAATACAGCACCTTTGCAAGCATGTGAAAGAAAGCAAATCAGGCTGAGGAAACGATGCCTGGGGCCATTCACAGAAAGGCCGGTGGATGCAAGCAGCAGGACGCACAGGACTGGACCACCGAGAGGAAAACAGATGTAGGGAACTGAACTTGGCAAGGAGAAGATGTTTTGGCCTTACCTCTTTTGCTGTCAGTGCAAAGGCTGTCTTGGCCAAAGGGAATTTGGAGGTTCAAAAAGATTGAGGTGAATGATGAGTGGATCACCTGGGACAACAGCGTAGACAGTGGCTGTCTCTAAAACCAGCTTCAGCTCTGTCCCATGCCTGCGGGTTGAGTCACGCACAGGGAAAGTGGACTAAATCTAAATGACAAGGAAAGGAACTGCACAAGGAATAGACGGCACAAACACCTTCCTAATGAGCAAGGATGAGAACTACAGATGCGCAAACCGCCCTTTCAATTCACTTGAATTGCAGAAGAAGAATTGCACAAGGCCTGACCACGCCAGCAGATGGAGAGGATGGGATTGTTTGGCCAGGTGTGACTTTGGCTCATCCACGAAATCAGTCCAAATACTCGTTTTTGCAAAAGCTGCTCCCTTCAGTTACCATCAGCTGCATCTCTCCTGAGACAGGGTCTTCTGGATGAGCACTTCTCTAATAAACACTTCTGGGTCATCTGTCCATGCCAACGCTGATACCGGAGGCAACGGATGGTGCGCTGCCATATCAGTGGTGGGTATCTCACAGCCTGGCTTGTGGCTTAGATAAACATCTCCCTCTAACCCTTCCTTGCAGAAAACTCTTGGGCATCCTGTAAACTGGCAAGTCAATGATAAGACCTCCTGTAAAGGTGGGAGGGGCTGAACGCATCTTTCGGTCGCAAGGAAGGTTTTAATTCTTTGGCTTGTTCTGCTTTTTGCTTTTATTAAGTTCCCTTCTTTTGGTTTTGATGTGCCCCCACCTCCGCCTCCCATCCCATATAAAAGGTTACTCTCCTCCCTGTCATGCGAATCAGTTTTGGTTGACCTCTCTGCACTGTCGTGATTTATTTGGTCAGTGGCACATACCTGATGTCACCTAGTAAAGAGGTAAGGCTGCTTTCTGCTCCCCTTCTCCTGCCAACCATTAGTTTTACAGCAGCATCCTCTGCATCGCAGTGAGAGCTCTTCACCCTTTCCTCTCAACTTCGTGGTCTCCTCTTGTTAGTCTCCGCCAGGTTGTTCTTCTCCAAGGAGGATGTGATAAAACCACGCTGCCATGTTAGAAGGGGACCTCAGAGCTCCCCTATTATGGTCTACAGTTATCCTTAGTGCTTTTCACTCGTCTTTCTCTCCAAGCTCTTGCAGGACCTTTGCTCACGCCACCTTCCAGCCATTTTCTGCAGCATTTCATTTGCTCAGAGATTTCTTTTTGTTATCCTCTCTCCAGTTTTCCTCACAGGCTCTCCCAGGGACTCCTTTCTTTGGGAGGCCATCACAAGGTGTTTCTGGGTTCATCTTTATCCTCTTAATTTTCATGAGCTGGCAGATACGGGGGTTTTTAAGCTTCATTTGCTGGTGTTCAAACATCCTAAGTTTTCATTGTCTGTAGCCACAACCATTCTTCTCTTTTTGTGGCTCTTTTCCTCTTTCTATGCATGCACTCTTGGTCAGTCTCCTTACAAAGACAGACCTGCTGCAGCATGAAATGCACTGGGATGGCAGCTTCTGCAGTACAAATGCTGCTTTGCAAGGCAGTGTGGTCCCACCATTCCTCTCCACCCAACCCAACAAGGATCCTTTGCTGCCCTGCTCCTCTGGTGGAAGCCAAGCTTCTCACCCAAGGCAGCGAGCAGATACAAAAACCTGCTTCAGAAGCATTTCCTACTTGAAAGTCCTCCAAGGAAGGACTGGGCAAAAGGCAATAAGCCAGATAGATAGGTTCTTCTTTCAGGCCAGTGCCATATGAATCGTATTAAAGTGGAATCCATAAGGCTGCAGACCTGGTCCCTGCTAACAGTGTGACTGAAAGATGAGAAGCACATCTGAAGTGTGGCATGTGTGCTAAGGACAGGTCGACTGATCTCAAAGGGTTGCTGATGATGGGAGATCACCCCTTAACCAAGAAGGGTTCTTCCAGGGTAGATCATATATGGATTCAATGCTATTCACTACTCCTATTCTGGAAATCAAGAAAAATCACCACTGATGAACTTGAAAGGAGATGCTGAGTTTGATGGAGTAGGAAATGATGAGTGGAGCAAAGATAAGCATGCAGATACACGGTGGTTTACTGGGGCAAAAACATGACAGCCAAAACTAAGAGAGAGCAATGCCTATAGAGCAAGAGGTGGGGTTTTCCTGAAAAGCAGGTGCTTAAAGAAAGATTTTATGTCACTGCTAACGTGGGTGAAGAGCTGAATTTTGCCCCTAGTGCAACGACATGTGAAGGAAGAGATTAGTGGGACCCTTACATGGACAGCAGAGCACCAAGAGGAGCAGCTTCTTGTTCCCTGAGCAGAGCTGATGAAACGGGTACCGCAGCGTTGCCTGCTCATCTGCTGTCTGCATCTTCAAAGGACTGCTAGTAAACTGCAGTGAAGATGCACACGTTGTGCAGGGCGACAAAGTGCACTGGAGGAACATCTCCCAGTGACAGAGTTGAAAACCTCCAGAGGTGCAGCTTGTGACAGGTAACTGAGAAGCCATCTCCCTACAATCCTTTTATCCCAGTGAAACACAGAAGCAGGAGATCCCACATCTCCTGCTGTCTGCACACCAAGCTTCTCAGGAAGAAATGCTTCAGCCAAGTGTAAGTTACTGGCCAGGATAACAATGCTAGTGGCATATAGGACAGCAGCAAATAGCATAACTGAACCAAAGGTATAACAGGATAACACTGGAGATCAAACCAGGAGATGTATGCTCTGTCCTGGACAGAGATCTTTGATTCTTCCTACCCTCCCAACCACCTCCTGTAGCTTTCTTGTTTCCTCTTCTCATCATGTCTCTTCAGTTTCTCCTGCTACCAAGAAAGCAGCCTCCCCTGTTGAGAAACAGCTTTTACTTCTGCTTAACTGATCTCTTCTGGGACATGGAGAAGAGCAGCGCTTGCCAGGTGCTAGCACTGATGTTCTGCTGGTGGGACTCAAACCATTTGACTACCAATGGCCTCTGCACTCCCTTCTCCTTTCCCAGGATCCCCCAAAAGACCAACAGAGCCCCCAGGAGAAATGCATGGAAGCTGCTGAGCTTCCTGCTGTGACAAGAGCCATGGTAAACTCCTGCTCTTACACCACGCACCCATGCACGTGTGCGCACCCTGCTTCTTATCTGGTATATTATTACTGCTACCATTGGCACCAGGTCAGTGGTAGCAGATAATGTGCTGCATAGAAAACCTGCCACAGGAGATACCAAGCAGCATGACTTAACACGCCTTCGTTTGGTTTCATAGCAAGATAAGTGGGGGTCAGGAAGCTCAAGCAACAAGAAGGAACCTTCCCCTCACTGACTCCATACAGCCATTGCATGACCGAGTGACTCCATATACATTCAATTACAGAGTGCAATCTGCAGACTGAATGATGTGGCTGGAACCACACCTCACTCACACACACACACACACACCTCGAGTGCCTTCCTCCTCTCTGCCCACCCCAGATGACCCCTTGAGTAGTTTTGCTATGGTTAAGATGCGTTTTACACCCCATAAGAAAGAACAAGGTTTCGGCTGAGTGTGAGCTGCTCAGTGACAGCTGTTTTACTGATCATTGGTTAAGGTGAAGCTGCTTTCACTCAGTGATCAGACCCAGTGGAAACTTTGCGCTTCCTTACACATAAGGTGCGTTTTGTTTGATTTCAGAGTTTAAGGGACCATCTCTGATGAGCACTGAGGGAAGAAAGCACTCGTGATACCATCTGTAAGGAAGTACGAAGCTTCCGTTAAGAGGCAGCTACCCAATGCTCCTGCAGCTGCTGGCTATTGCTGTGTAGGCAGCACCTCGACAGAGCTACCTGGGCAGAAGCAAGTGATCCTGCACCTTTAGAGCAAAGAAGCTTCTTCCCATCATCCCAGAAGAAAGGAGGAGAAAAGGTAAAGCTCACAAAGTGCAGTTGCGCATCCTGTATGCTCATCATATGTAGCTGCAGTGCTGCTTCATTAAGCTTCAAGGTAACTTTTAAAACCCTTTTAACTCCTGCATCAGCAGAGGTGTATGTGCATTCTGTTTGATATGTTTTCAGGTTTAAGTATTGCAGTATATTGCACTGAAGGTATATTGCATTCAGGTACGGCTAGGTGCAGTTGCCGCAGCGCTCTCATCCTCACACCACTGGCATCAAACAGTTCTGTCACTGTCACTTGTGATTCAGATTAAGCTCCTCGTTGTGTGTAATGGGACACGACTGTAGGCTGGAGAGGTGTTGTGCCTGGGATGACACACAGGAGGGGTCGGGTTAATGGAAGTCAGTGTTTGTTGTTATGCAGCAGCAAGGCACAGTGTAAAGTCAAAGAAATCAATGATGCTGTTCTGCTATTCCTAAACACAGACAAAGGTGAAGGACAGAACTCAGGCTTAGAAAAGCTCTGTTGTGTGAAGCTAAAACAGTAACACACATCAGTGATACATCAGCAGTATATCTGCATTGTGTCCAGGTTACCTCAAAGTAACATGACTGGAATAGGTTGCCCAGGGAGGTTGTGAATGCTCCATCCCTGCAGTGTTCAAGACCAGGTTGGAGGAGGCCTTGGGTGAGATGGTTTAGTGTGAGGTGTCCCTGCCCATGGCAGGGGGGTTGGAACTGGATGATCTTAAGGTCCTTTCCAACCCTAACTATTCTATGATTCTATGACTTAAACCCCTGTCTCTGCCTGTTAGAAAAGAACATGCATACAAAAATGACCAATTCCTGTTACTCATTTAGCCATTGAAGACAGCACTTACTGAAACCTGAGGTCAGCTTTCAGTGAGTGTGAATTCTTCAGAAAGGTCAGATCCATTTTCGTTACTGTCTTCTTACAATAATGTTTGCCTGATGAGAGAGGGGGTGAAACCCTGAACTGCTACGAATAGAGGCTTTGCTTTATTCCACACAGGATTTATCCCTCTCAGATTTGATATCTGTGGTCCGTACCTTTCACTCCTGTTTGCTTTCCTCTTCACTAAGCTCTGCTGCTTGACATCCAGGCTGCACAGTGCTGTAAGGACTAAACAAATGCATGTCAGGTGTGATGGGGAACGGCTGAGGGACCTGGGGGGTTCAGTGTGGAGAAGAGAAGGCTCAGGGGGGACCTGATCGCTGCCTACAACTGCCTGAGAGGAGGCTGTAGTGAGGTGGGGTCGGTCTCTGCTCCCAAGGAACAAGGGACAGGACAAGAGGAAACGGCCTCAAGCTGCACCAGGGCAGGTTTAGATGGAGCTGAGGAACAATTCCTTCCCCAGAGGGTGCTCAGGCATTGGAACAGGCTGCCCAGGGCAGGGCTGCAGTCACCGTCCCTGCAAGTGTTCACACAGCGTGGAGACGAGGCCTCAGTGCCATGGGTTAGTGGTGGCCTTGGAGTGCTGGGGAACGGTTGGACTGGGTGAGCTTAAAGGGCTTTCCCAACCTGGTTGGCTCTATGACAGTACATTTTGCAAGGGTGCACGTGCAGGATGCTTAACCTGTGTTAGAGAGCCTTTAGTGAGAAGCGTTTTATAAGTCAATCACTGCTAATGATTCAGACTTGTGAGGTAACCGCGCGATCTTCGTGCACCAAAAGTTACTGACGTTTTTATGTTCTCTCCTTCTCAGGAACTGGGGGAAAAACCATGAATTTTTCAAGTACTGAGTCCTTTGAAGTCGACACCTCAACCTCATATGAGTATTACGACAATTACGACGATGCTCCAAAACCCTGCAATAAGGAGGCTGTCAGGAGGTTCGCAACCTCCTTCGTACCTGTTCTCTATACTCTGGTCTTCCTGGTCGGGCTCACGGGAAACATTCTGGTCGTCGTGGTCCTCTTCAAATACAAGAGGTTGAAGAGCATGACTGATGTGTACCTGCTGAACCTCGCCATCTCAGACCTGCTCTTTGTTTTATCCTTGCCCTTCTGGTCTTATTTCATGATAGACCAATGGGTTTTCGGAACTCTCTGGTGTAAAATTATCTCGTGGATCTACCTGGTGGGGTTTTACAGCGGGATATTTTTTATTATGCTCATGAGCATAGACAGATACCTGGCTATTGTTCGTGCAGTGTTTTCCTTGAAAGCAAGGACTGCCTTCCATGGCTTGGTTACTAGCTTTGTCGTATGGCTTGTAGCTCTTTCAGCCTCAGTTCCAGAACTTGTATTCGCAGAATCTTTTACTGAAAAGAATTATACTACCTGCATGGCAAGATATCCAGGCAATTTCACAACATGGAAGCTTGTTTCCACTTTGGAAATCAACATCTTAGGGCTCCTAATCCCTCTTACAGTTATGACGTTTTGCTACTCCATGATCATTAAAACATTAGTGCACTGTAGAAACGAGAAAAAGAACAAGGCCGTGAGGATGATCTTTGCTGTCATGATTGTGTTTTTCTTCTTTTGGACCCCTTACAACATCGTTATCTTTTTGAAGCTGCTGGAAAACATGGGAGTCTTTAGAGGCTGTCAAGCGAGCAGCAGTCTGGACTATGCCTTCCAGGTGACAGAAATCCTCGGCCTTTCTCACTGTTGCCTCAATCCAGTCATCTACTTCTTCATGGGGGAGAAGTTTAAGAAGTACGTGAAGATGCTCTTTAAGAACTGGTGGTTACCTGGAGAGATGTGCAAGTGGTGTAGAGTTCACATCACTTACCACTCCGAATCCACCAGTTCTTTCCACACGCAGTCTACAGGGGATCAAGAGGCTCTGTAGCGCGTTTCGCACCGCCCACGGGACTCACCAGCAAGCCGACTGACAAGGGGAGGAACTCCAGAGAGCCAAGGAGGTGCACATGCATTTAACAATAAGCTAGTGCTGGACAATGAGTCACGTCAGCTTTGATTTCTGCCCCTAGATTCGCTGAAGGCTATGACAGAAGGTGCCCTACGTGTGAAGTGTGGGAGATGGACACACAAGTTTTGTATGCTGCAATCCCCAATTGCTGCTCAGCTGTAACGGCAGCCCCAGCTCTCTGCAAAGCACTGTGCTGTGCATCTGCTTTTCACCAGGGTCAGCATGGAGGTTGGCCCCTCGCACGGAGGGGGAAAGGAGAGTCTTGTCACCAGCATCTGGAAAACACATTTGTTTCTTCCAGGAGGATTATTAGTACTGTTGTGTTTTATTCTGCGTAGGACTTGTTCGCTCTGACTCTTAGCAAGCTCTTAACAGTACCTGCAACTGTCAAATGTTTCATCTCAGGGGAGGGGGATAAGCCCTCTGTCATTAAGGACCTCAGATATGCTCTTTATGTGCACAAAGACGCAAAGCAAATGCATTACATTGTGTTACAGACAGTTTCTCTTAGGTATCCAAGTTGCCACTTGTACCTATGTGTAAGTGTGTATACAGGCATTTTGAATTACTTTATCACTGTAACTCAGGTTTCTGTATTTTAATTAACATTTTTTAAGTGCTTTGGATAGAAGTGTTTTAAAAAACCTTATTTTCCAGCCTGTGTGAATAAATTCAAAGCATCTTGGTTAAAAGTCTGTCTTTAAAAGTGAATGTTCTTTGTTTCAGAAGTACTTAACCCCAAGGCTCAGTTTTCACTCACTGAACATGTATCTGGCCATCAAGAGAGTAAAACCAGAGACTGTATAGAAATGGTCTGTCAGAAACCACACCAAGAATCCTGGGGCTTGATAACAGCAAAACGCAAAGAGTGCGATGCTTCAGTAGCCACTCACAGACTACACAGCATTAATCAAAGACCTGATCAGGAAGCAAACTCACACTGCAGTGCTGAGGTTGTGGCACAAAAATGACTTAAGAAGAGTTAAAACTCAGTACGGTGGTTGGCGGCAGGTAAAGTAAGAGTTGAAAAAGTACACATTGGCAGGTATTTCTTTGTGTCTTTGTGCTGGATCACGACCATTCAACATGAAGACTTAGGTTGCCAGTAACAAAGTGCCTGCTCAGCACATAGGCAAAGAGCAGACAAGAAGGAAAGGCTTGGAGAAGACATGTAAAAATACCATAGTGGTGTTGCTCTCATGACCCTAAACAAGAAGTGTTAAGTGGAAGCTCATCTGTGTGACACAAGACAGAGCGAAAAAGTCTCATGCACACACACATCCATCCATCAATTTTGGGGCTGAATTACCATCAGCTCTTTGCTGAGGCTGACAAGCAAGGATCTGCATTAATGCAGGTAACAAGAATAGCTGTGGAAGACATTACTTGTGGCAAGAGAAGTGTCTTCCTTCCCAAGAAAAACCACTATCGAGTCTTACTACTCAAAACCTTACAACCACTGAGTAAATCGGTTGTGGAAAAATGCTGCAAGAAGTGGGTTAAGCCGTTCATTACCTACTTTGAAAGAGAAGACAAATTACAAGTGCTTGAAAGCCACTGAACCCAACAACACGTCACTCCCAAAGCCAGCACGGCACCTTGTCCTCACAGATGCGATGCTGCACTGTGAGCTGCTGAGCTATTCACTGGTTAAGTGCACAGATGAACTTGGAAGCCAGACAGAGCACCACGGTTCTAGTCAGTAAGAATAAATCACTCCTTTAGAGGAGCCTTGCTTTCCAGTCTGGGGGAAGCAAGCAAAAAGCAAGCCATAGACAGGTTCTTGATGACCATGAGGTAAGAGAGGTCATCAAGTGTTTGATACAGGGTTGAGGAATGGCATCAAGACAACCAGCAGCTTGCAGGCTGGTCCAGCTCAGGGCATACACCCTGTGGTGGGGAGGGCACTGAATCTGCTCATGTGTGGAACGAATGTGCTGCACCCATTGCCATGCATAGAGCTGGTGTAAAACCTCTGTGATGCTCTGATTCTCTTCTCCACACGAAACTCAGGCGCTTCACATAGCTCGGCGTTGTGCCCCACAGCCTGTGGGCATGGGCCTTTGGTCAGAGGGTGCCTGTTGCAGACAGAACTCTCACTGGGTGAGCATTGTCCTTGCTCCTCTGACCAAACAACCTCTCCCAGTCCACCCAGTGATACCCATCACTCCTCAATGTGTGTGCTGGAGAAGCAACCAAGCTGGAAGCTGTGCTCTGAGTAGGTTTGCTGATTCGGGTGCAAGGGGGGGGGACTCACCTTTAAAGTGATGGGCTCAGGAATTCAGGTCCTGGAGCTCATCAAACCTGGGTGGCTTCCTCCTCTGTCACTTGGAACAAACCCTTCTCCTCCGTGCACTGAGCTACAGTGGATGATGCCGCTCCTCTTTGTAGAGAGGGCTTTGGCATCTGCTGGTGAGAAAGGACAAGAGGATGGTGTTAGTACAGACAGGAATACAGCAGGGATTTTCATAATGCCACTTGGACAAAGGTGCCGTTTTAGCTGAACAGGAAGTTTCCAAGCAATGAGTGATGAAGTACAGACCTCCTGGACCATTAAAGACTAGAATATCAATCCACTGACGGGCATTCTAGTGAAGCAAAGCTGACTCATTCTTAAACCCACACTTTTACATCAGGGTTCCTCGGAAGGCCAGCCTGTGCCCTCCCTTCTGCTGAGCTCAACTGGCATAGCAAAACAGATGAAGGGAAGAATCAGCTTAATTATATGAAGCACGAATCATGATGAAAACATAAACCCAAGTTGGCTGGTTGTTTTCATACAGCACTTAGGTCACTGCAGCACTCCCTAAGCATGACACTTGATTTTTACTCTGGAAGTCAGCCTCATTCCTTTTGACTGTACTGTGTGCAGTTCTGGTGTCCTCAACATAAGAAGGACATGGAGCTGTTGGAGCAAGTCCAGAGGAGGCCATGAGGATGCTCAGGGGCTGGAGCACCTCCTGTATGGAGACAGGCTGAGAACATTGGGAGTGTTCAGCCTGGAGAAGAGAAGCTGCGTGGAGACCTCAGAGCAGCTTCCAGTGTCTGAAGGGGGCTACAAGGATGCTGGAGAGGGACTCTTCATCAGGGACTGTAGTCATAGGACAAGGGGTGATGGGTTCAGACTGAAACAGGGGAAGTTCAGGTTAGATCTAAGGCAGAAGTTCTTCCCTGTGAGGGTGCTGAGGCGCTGGCACAGGGTGCCCAGAGAAGCTGTGGCTGCCCCATCCCTGGCAGTGTTCAAGGCCAGGTTGGACACAGGGGCTTGGAACAACCTGGTCTGGTGTGAGGTGTCCCTGCCATGGCAGGGGGTTGGAACTGAAGTTCCTTTCCAACCCAAACCATTCTATGACTGTGCAAAAGAAGCACTATGGTCACCAGCATCCTCCCAGTCTGCTCCTCCGAGTCTATGAGCAAAACAGGAATTGCTGTTCTCCTTCCTATCCTAATGCTGTTTGCCTCTGCCCCAGCACCAGCTTTGCACACTGGTCTGAAGGCTAGTACAATCCAACAGGCACTGCAGTGCTCCTCCAACACTAGGATGCTTCCAGCAGGGATCTACACGCACACATTTTCCTCCAGGAGCTCTTCCTTGTTCCCAATTATATCCAATCTCTCTCTCTTAACACAGCCTGAGACCAACTTCATCAACTCCCATCTCTGACACAAATATGCCCATTTGACTCGATTTACAGAAATCAAGGGCCATTTAGTAATGCCATTCCAAATGATCATTAAAACACTACTGAAGGCAAATCCTATAAGGACCCCACTGGACTTTGCTACTCTGGGTATGAATGAAGCTTTTAAGTAGGAGGCTGGAAATGAATAGTCGATAGAACTGTTATGAGATTTCTACACTTGCATAACTGATAAAACCTTTCAAAGGTGATGCAGTGCTGATGGTATCTGCAGTCATCTTACTGTAACCCAGCACTGATGGATGCAGGTCCTGATCGCAGGCAGTGTATTTAAGCTCAGTAATGGCACGGTGCTGCAAAATGAAAGCTACAGAGGCACCAAGAACTGTGGAAGATTCCAAAGAGATGTTTGTTTCCTTGCTTTTGCTTTTAACGAGTACAGCAAGTAATCGAGAGCCTGATCTGCAGCACTGCTCTGCTTCCGCAGATAGGAAAACCTCAGAAAAGGTACTTTCGGTGCTGCTAGCAACCTGTAAGACAACAGACTGCGTGAAGGTTGGCGGTACCAGACCCACTCTTCCGCTCCAAAGAGACCGGGGGCATTTGATCAGCATTTCCCAAGCAGCCAAGCTCAGGATGAGACTTTTGCACCCGGGACTGCGATTGGAACAACTGGTAGAGGTGTCTGTGTGGAAAGCTTGTCTCTTGTGCACAGGGAATTGTCCTTCTTGAAGCATCGCCATTGAAGTGTCGTGGGTTGGGCAGCCGGATCCAAGAAAAGGTCCCTCCCTGACGTTGGGCCTGTCACCATCACACACAAAGAGAAAGAGCAATACCAGCTAATAGTAACACTGAGGTATCTTAATCAAAGTGGAGAAAGACCACAAGAGATCTCTGTACTTACTCAGAATCGGTAAACTGAAACTTGACCACAAGTCAGACCCGGTGACTTGCCTCTGACGCTACCAAAATAGGTGGGAAAGCTGTAAAAAGCAGATAAGGAAGAGAAAGGATGCTTGCTCCCATTGCTTCTGCCCTTGCTGCTCTTTCACAGTACCAGGAATAGAAAGGAACCAGGGCTGGTTGACTGCAAGGAACAACATCGTCTACAGGGCCTTGTAGACAAACAGTGTTGAGAAGCTGCAGAGCATAAGTCCACCCTTGCCATCAAAGCACTCTCCAGAAGAGTGAAACCCATAGCACGAGGTGTTTTGGGTTAAAAACCCCTGCAGCACTTCAGAGCAGGGGCTGCAGAGCTTACATAAAGAAAGAAAAGGGAAGTATGGATTTAGGCTGTTTTCTCCTCAGTTCTGCTTCACCAACCCATCTCTGCACAACGCAGGTCAGTGCTCGCTGCCTTTCCTGAGAAATACTAGGGAATCCCCAAAATCCCTGTCCTGGGTTCAGCAACAATCCCCCATGGGGATGCTGGCTCTCATCTGCTCCTGCTCTGGCTTCTTGCATGAACACACATGCCACAAGCTCCTCTCCCACAGCCACATGGAGTAAATCCATTCATTCCCTCACCAGCTCAAGCTCACGTTCTCCACAGAGTCAAGCAAGCAGGACCCCATCTTCTGACAGCACTGCAGAGCATTTCGCATTTGAAGAGGCAGGTTCTGGAAGATGTCCCCACTCTTGGCAGGGGGTTGGAGCAGACGACCTTCAAAAGGTCC